CCACAAGGCTCAGTCTTAGGACCCACCCTCTTTACAATCTACATACATAATGTAGGTAAAAACATCCCTAATGCATCCATACATTTCTATGCTGATGACACAGTTGTTTATTGTCGAGCTAAAACAGTTGCTAAGGCTTTCCAGCTTCTGAAATCTGCATTTAACTACATCCAGACTGATTTGTTTCACCTCAAACTTGTCCTAAATGCCGAAAAAACCAAAGGGATGCTTTTTTCAAATAGGAAGTTGGTCCCAGCAGTTCTTCCTCCGATTTTATCCTCAAATGGTGTCCCCATTGAGTTTGTTGATTCCTATAAATATTTGGGTATCTTGGTCGACTCACATCTTTCTTTTAAGCTCCATGTGGAAAACTTGGTAAAGAAACTGAAAATTAAACTGGGTTTCTTTTTCAGAAACAGATCCTGTCTAACCCTGAATGCTAGAAAACGCCTTGTATCTGTGACTTTCCTTCCCTCAATTGATTTTGGTGATATTATTTACATGAACACTCCTACAAGAACCCTGCAGATGTTGGATGCTGTCTATCATGGTGCACTAAGATTCATAACTGGCTGTGATTATCGTACCCACCACTGCACCCTGTATTCATTGGTTAACTGGACATCATTAACTTCACGCAGACTCTCTCACTGGTACATTTTCATCTTTAAATCACTTCTTGGTCTGCTGCCTTCATACATCTCCTCCTACATGTCTCTGCGTGAGTGCAGCTACAGCGTGCGCTCTCAGGACATTATTACCTGCAGTGTTCCCTCAGTGAGGACTGAACTAGGCAAAAGGGCCTTCTCCTATTCCGCTCCTGTTTCCTGGAATATCTTACAAAAAGATTTGAAGCTCTCGACCTTGACCTCTCTAAGTGGCTTTAAGAATCTGTTGGACTCCTGGCAGGGACCAATGCAGACATGTTCCTGTTTTTAGTTTTATACATTTGTCTCGGAATCTAGCAGTTTTTTTGGTTTTGTTACCTTTTTCCTTTTAGCCATCCTATTTGTTAAAAAAAAAAAAAAAAAAAAAAACTGTAGTATGAGTTTTTATAACTGCTTATTGTTGTTGCTGTTGTCCATTGTTGTCATCTTTCTTTGTTGAAATCAGGTCTCTCTTGTAAATGAGTCCTCGAGGCTCAATGGGATTTACCTGTATAAATAAAGGTTGATTGATTTAAAGAAGTCATTTTCCTGCATGCTCATTTCGATGCAGCAACAGTCTTGTTATACTGGACATGTGGCTGCCCTTGCCTGCAAATGGATTAAAAGTTTAAAATTATATTTATTTGTTTAAAGCATCCAAGTGTCCAAGTTTAATTTGTCAATTAAAAACTATTATTTGTGTTTATTTTTGTACTAAATTTTATTGATTTGGGGTACCGTGTTTTTCTGACTAAGGTGCACTGGACTATAAGGCACAATACCAATGAACGGGTCTGTTTTCATACATAAGACGCACCAGATTATAAGGTGCATTAAGCAAAACAAAACAGTCAGATAAGTCAAACTTTATTCAACTCGTTCACCATTTTTTTCCTTCTTTCGGCAGCTCCCTTCTTCAGGGGTCACAACAGCAAACTTAAGTCGCACGAAGACTTGGCAATAGTTTTTACGCCGGATGCCCTCTCTGATACAACCACAGACCACCGAGCTGCCACAGCCCTCTGCGTGGAGTAGAGAGCTCCATCTAGGGTGCTCAGGGGAGCAGATGAGGCAAATGAGGGTGGAGGCAGGTGTGGGTGTTTCACCTATCCCACCCACATTTTGATGTTGTTGGCACCGGGAGTTGAACCAGCGATCTTCCGATTACAGGCCCACCTTCTCTAACCTCTGCGCCACCACTCCCAAATTCAACTCATGCACAATAACCACATAAAATCAGTGTGAGATCAGTAAGCACAACCAGAATTAATCCGTAGGCGCACCGGATTATAAGGCTCACTGTTGATCTTTGAGAAAATTAAAACATGTTAAGTTCACCTTATAGTCTGAAAAACATGGTATTTGTGGAACATGTATAATCTGAACTAATCATGTGTTGTGTTTACTATAAAATTAATCTACAACAAAAGAATAAAAAAGAACATAATCTGAAATCCTGTTTTTACTGAGCTAGTTGCTTCTCGCCTGTTGCGTAATCCCCTTTAATTAGCCTCCTTTTTGTTTGATGTGTCCAGATCTACAAAGAGCAGCTCAATACTCGCATTGTCCTGGTAGCCATGGAAACCTGGTCATTTGAAAACAAGATCGCCGTCGTTGATGATGCCCTGCTCACCCTGCGAGACTTCATGAAGTACAGGAAGGAGAGCATCAAGGAGCGCTGCGATGCTGTGCACCTCTTCTCGTGGGTTTTTTATTCCTTCTTATTGCTTTCCCCGTGCTTTTTGTTTTCCAAACCTCTTTTCTGTTTTTTTTTAATTCAGAGGGAGGACGTTCATGAGCAGCCGCAGCGAGGCGGCTTACGTCGGAGGCATCTGCTCCCTGACCCGGGGTGGAGGCATCAATGAGGTGACATGTAAAGAGTGGAGCTGTTCTTTGGTTTATTAAACTCATTATTGATGTAGTCAGTAAACATATTTATGACTTTCTTCTTTCTTTTTTTTTTTTTTAACATGTGATTCCTCAGTTTGGGAGTGTGGGTCCTATGGGCATCACTCTGTGTCAGAGTCTTGGACAAAACATCGGGATGCTTCGGAACAAGGAGCGAACGACTGCAGGTGACGTGTTGACTTTAGTCGAAATCAACAAAAACTAGAGGAACTGCTTTTCCTGTGAAAATTCAGTGTGAATGCTTATAGCAGAAGAACTTGCTGAAAAACTGCTGAAATTAGCTAAAACATTCTGAAAGGTACCTGAAATGGGAGGACAAGTCTAATTTAGCAGAAGAAAGTAGAAAGGACACATATTTGCTGAATTAGGTTTAAATAAGCAGAAATTTGCACACAATTTGGGAAATTAACTAAAAATGGCTGAAATGAGCAAAAAATAGCAGAAAAGTAGCTGAAAAGGCAGAAAGAAGCTTAAACTGCCAGAAGTAAGCGGAAATAGCTGAAATGAGCTAAAAAATGTGTCATTACCTAAAAAAGCTAAAAACGGCATCAAAAGAGCTAAATAGCAGCTGAAAGAGCAAAAAAAAAAAAAAACCTGCTGAAACTATCAGAAATAATCTGAAAGGAGCATAACAATCTGAAATTAACAAATAATTTATTTAGGCTGAAAATTAGCACAAAACCATGAATTTATCTGAAAACAGCTGAAATTAGCAAAATAATGCTAAAAAAGGCAGCTGAAAAGGTTAAATAAGCAGAAGTAAGCAGAAAGAACACGTTTGTCCAAATAGGCTGAAAGAAGCAAAAATGGGCACAAAAAAGTGCAAATTATCTGGAAAAAAGGCTTAAACTTGTAAAAAGAACAGCTGAAATGTACTGTAGATAAAAAGCAGAAATAAGCTTAAATTGCCAGAAGGAAGTGCAGAGAGCACATTTTTTTGCTGATTTAGGCTGAAAAAAGTTTAAATGAGTGCAAAAATGTGGAATTAGCTGAAAAAGCTAAAAGTAGCATAAAAACAGCTAAATACTAGCTGAAATAGCAGAAAAAGCTTAAACTTGCATAAATTAACCGAAAGGAGCATAACAAGCTGAAATTAGCAGAAACAAGTTAGAATAAGAACAAAAAAGGTGAAATGTTTCAAAAAGTTAAAGTTGCACCAATACCAAAAGTCCTAGCAGGATTGTCCTGAAAGAGCTGAACATTTGTTGAAATAGCTTGAAAACTGCGGGACGAGAAAAACAGACAAATGTTCGGGGGAAAAATGGATCACGATAGTGTGAATGCTTCATAAACTTTCACACAAGTTTAAAAACTCGAAGCTAACTTGGAAAAAAAATTGTTAAATGACTTAACTTTCACTAGCATCATTTTAGTTATTCTAAAAGTCATTTAAGCTTTAGCTATTAAACCTTTGAGGTCTAAGTATTTATAATTGAGGTAACGTCAGCTTTTCTGGTGACTGAAGTTGCATTTAAACATGAACAGATTTGTCTTTTTGCTTAAAACCTGACATCAGAAATGTTTCATGTGTTCCCAGGAGGCTGCAGGTGTCCAGACCCATGGCTGGGTTGCATCATGGAGGATACGGGGTATAAATACTTTTTACAACTTGGAAACAAATGTACTGACATAAGTTTATTTCTGTAAAATCTGTGAAATGGTATATCTAAGTCATGGCTTCTTGCCTTGGGATGAGGGTCACGGTTCTTGCAACGAGAAAAGGAGACAAATAACAAATTCTGCTACTTTTTAAATTTATTTTAGAATATAACTCTCCCAGAAGCAGAGACTAATCAAATAAAATAAAACACTTTCCTTCCAGCAAGCTTTCTTTTTTTAATCTCAGTATCAAAAAAGTCTTTGCTGCAGATATCTGAACAAGTCCCCATTTTCCAAGTCAAATTCTCTTTAGAGTTTTCCAAACTTTTTGAACGTCTTGCCCTCTACAAGTGTGCATATTTCTGTTGTTCCTCTTCGTCTCCACTCTGTAAATGTAGTCTCCTTCACTGGGTTTGAATCTAGCTGTCTGGGAGGACCACACCAAAGGTTTACCATCTCCTTCTCATTTGTATTCTTTAAAAACTTTATACCATGATTTAACAGGATAAGGTTCTCTGTCATTCTGCTTAGTCTTTCTTTTCCACCAAGCTTGTGGTAGAATTTGCATCAAGTCGAACTCGATTTGTTTCCATTTGGCTTTGTGCTCCAACGAACACCAGTAGATTATGTATCTTAATTTCTCAGCATATTAATATTCTCTAAGATTTGGAAGAGCTAAGTCAACTTTTATCCAATCTGAAATGTAAGATTAACGGCCTTGAACAATATTCAAAATGATAGCTTTCAAGAAAACAACAAGGGAAAGTGTTTGCTTCAAAAATTTCATACAGAATTTGTGCAAAATAAATTAAAACAACTATCTCCCAATTTGAAAACAATAAAAAATAAATAAATATAACAAATAAAATGTGAAACCCTGAAACTTCTCAGTAGGATGAGTGGACGTGTGAGAAAATTGAGGATTGATATCAGGGATATTGAATAAATACACTAAAGACTTTCCACAGTTCTTTTTAAAGCATCACTTATGTGATACAACTGCTTGCCGTACACCACCTCTCATCTCTTGGTGCTGCAGCTCTCCTGCGACTGCTGCATTCGTCATCAGTTCATAATTAATGCTAATTAATATGAATGCATGTACCTTTACACCCCAAATAGACTACACGTTTTATTTCCAGTTTGAATTTTGTCAAGTAAATTTAATTATATTTATTTCTGTAAATTTTAGCTACTACCTGCCCAGGAAGTTCTCCCGCTGCAGCACAGATGAATACCTTCGATTCCTCCAGCAGGGAGGAGGCAGCTGCCTCTTCAACAAACCCACAAAGGTGAGACGTTGGTTGGTTTTTCCAGTCAGAGCACACACAGTTTGTACAAAAGTCTTGGCTCATCCCTCATTTCTTTATTTTTTGCTTCCAAAGAGTCTTTTGCGTGTAATATTTGAGAGAGATCGGTAGATTTGTATTCGTTTTGAAAGTTTTGACTTCGAGAAAAGCTTTTTCATTCATTTTCACTACATTTTCAGAAGAAGGATAAAAAAAAAAGGCTCCTAATGTTGAAAGACCTTCAAAACGTCAAGAAGCATTGATCAAGGTCACTTTAAAACAATACAATAAAGTTTTAACAGTTTAAAACCAAAAGAGAAATAAATTAGAGGGTTAGGATTAGGGCAGCACGGTGGCGCAACTGGTAGAGCTGCTGCCTCTCAGCGAGCAGGTCCTTGGTTCAAACCCCGGTCCAGGGGCCTTTCTGGGTGGAGTTTGCATGTTCTCTCCGTGCATGCGTGGGTTTTCTCCGGGTGCTCCGGTTTCCTCCCACAGACCAAAAACATGCATGTTAGGCAGATTGGTAACTCTAAATTGTCCCTAGGTGTGAGTGAGAGAGTGAATGGTTGTTTGTCTCGTTTGTCTCTATGTGGCCCTGTGATGGACTTGCGACCCGTCCAGGGTGTACCCCGCCCCTCGCACAGTGATTGCTGGACATGGGCACCAGCGACCCCCGTGACCCAAAATGGAATAAACGGGTAAAGATAATGGATGGATGGATGGATGGTTAGGATTAGGGTTTAAATCATTTTTACAGCACAGTATGTGCTTTGACTAAGACGTGTTGTTGTTGAAATACAGGCTATAAACTTCATATTAAGTGTTTTTTTCTTTTCTTTGTAGCTGTTAGACCCGTCAGAGTGTGGCAATGGATATGTGGAGCCAGGAGAGGAATGTGACTGTGGATCGCTGGTGGTGAGCATATTTATTTTAATTAAATTATCCCTGCTTTTCTTTAAAATATCAGCACAAGTCATGCAGCTGGAAAACTGAAAAGGAAATCTGAGCTCTTAATGTTTGTTACACAATAAAGTAGCAGTACATGTTTTTATTGCAGTGACATTTTCTCACCAGATCACATTCTGTTTAAATATAGCAACAAAAATACGTTGTACCAAAAATCATTGTAAAAATACTACAGCTGAGTATAAAAATGCACTTATGGTAAAGTAGAAAGTGTTTTATTTAAACTTTTTTTTACAATCAATTAAAATAACACATAAAAGCTGTCAGTTGTCAGCTAACCACTAATTTAACTAAAAAAAAATTTTTAGCTTCGCTAAAGCTAAGCAGATTAAAAAAAAAAAAAATTAGCTGAAGCTAATGCTAACCGCTAACTTTTATCATACACTGCTGTCGCTAACGCTGTCAGACTGTCTGTAATGTGACAACGTTGTCAGTGAACACAACTCAGAACGGTTCATAAGTCACAAGTAAAGCGTCTATGTCCCGTTCAGAGGTGAGCTTTCAGAAATGAATCCGGTCCATCGGAACCAAGAGGCAGACTCTGCAGTGCTGAAGTAGTGTGATGCATTTCATGTGTGTCGGATGTCTCCCTCATGTCACTTACTATAAAGAATTAACTCACTTCAACGATCCTCATTGTGGTTTTTACTTTTATTAACTAACTATAAAAGTTGCTGTGCGTCATCAATATTCTCTCTGTGATAAATCTGTTTGTATTAACGTAAAAATGTGTGAAGAAATGGGTGAAAGAGTCACGTCCCAGAGAAAGTAAGCGTTGCAAAGCATGCTGGGTAGGAATTATGTGTGCAATGTTTCTGAGTGTGAGAACGAGTTTTTCATGTTATTTTCCTGTTCTGGTTTTTATATTAAAGTCTGTTATTGGCTGTAAACGTTCACCACGAGTCAGAGACAAATTGCAGGAGGTATGAGAGAGGAAAGCACTGCAAGGGTGGAGACATCACCGGGCGGCACTTAGGTTTGCTTAGCTTTGCATAGCATAGTTCTGTGTAAATCACCATTATTCTGTACTGAAAACTGTAAAAAAAAAAAAAAAAAATGCAGATTTGAACTTGCTTCATTAGCAGAAGCTAATTCTGCAAAAGGTTTTCAAAATTAGCAAAAATGATAATACGCTAGATGGAACGTTAGCTCTGCTATTAACAGGTTAGCGGAACCGTCCCCACCACTGAAAGCTGTAAAACAGTACAACAGTAAAAGCAATAAATGAACTAAGATTGGCTTGAACTTCATTAATTGTGTCTTTAACATTGATTTGAGATAAAGTGATTTATGAAGGTACCTAAAATGAAATTCTCATTCCCTTCTCTACAAACCTTTCTGTTTTTTTTTATAGGAGTGTACTCAAAGTGGAGCCGACTGCTGTAAGAAGTGTACACTTACCCACAATGCCATGTGCAGCAACGGGCTCTGCTGCAGGGACTGCAAGGTGAGCTCCGGCAGCTCATCATCGAATCATTCCCACTCTGGGGACCTCTGAATTTACTGAGAATAAACTGTTAGTGCTTTAGTTATTTAGTTATTTTTGTTGTGAAACATGTTGAGCTCCAACTGTGAACTTGTAAAAATGGATTAAATAGCGTCAACGTTTAGAAACAGTTACTACGTTTCAAATTCCTTTAAAATGTGTGTGAACAATAGCGATGTCCGTTTAACAGTTCATTTCATTATTTTTCTCCTACCTGGTAAACGTTTTCCTCTCCTCCTGCTTTCTTTTGAATTTTTCTTGTTTGTCCAGTACGAGCAGAGAGGCGTGACGTGCCGCAATGCTGTGAACGACTGTGACATCCGTGAGACGTGCACAGGAGACTCCAGCCAGGTGAAAGAAGAGCTGATTTATTTGTGCTGATTAAAAAAAAAAAAAAAAAAAAACTAAATCTGGAGTAAGTGAGTCTGATTGTTTAATCTCTTACAGTGTCCACACAATGTCCACAAACTGGATGGTTACACGTGTGATGAAGGCCAGGTGAGGTGAAATGTTTACTTAAATCTTTCTCAGGACTTTCTCCTGAGGATGTTCTGTTTCCTCGTCAGGGTCGTTGCTACGGAGGTCGCTGTAAAACCAGAGATGGGCAGTGCAAGAATCTGTGGGGTTACAGTAAGTTTAATTAAATGTTGAGCCTTTCTCTGTGTTATACTGCCCCCTGGTGGTTGTCTGGATATCCCTGCCTATCACCTTTATCTCGTTTAAAAGGTATTTATTTATAAATGTTCCTTTGGATTGATGAGTAAATCAGATGTTTTTCCTCTCAGACTCTGCTGACAGATTTTGTTATGAAAAGCTTAACTCTGAGGGCACAGACAAAGGAAACTGTGGGCCAGACTCCAGCGGTCAGGGTTGGGCGCCGTGCAACAAACAGTGAGCGAATTCACGTCAAGCAGTCAAATGTTCAAACCAGAAGGTTTTAACGCTTTTCTTTTTGCATCGTCTTACAGAGATGTTCTGTGTGGCTTGCTGCTTTGCACAAACCTGACAGAAAGGCCGAGGTTTGGTGAACTTCAAGGAAAGCTCACCAGTCTGACTATCCACCATCATAACCGATACATGGACTGCAGGTGAAGCAGTTTGTCCTCAACTAGAAGAGAGGTCCATCTCATCTTGGATAGTAAATTAGTAGAATGTGATGAGTGGACATCTGTAGTATCTAGAAGTTTAATTTACTGAGATTCTGCGCTGCAGTGGGGGTCATGCAGTGCTGGATGATGGTCTGGATCTGGGCTACGTGGAGGACGGGACACCGTGTGGGCCGAACATGATGTGTTTAGAACGCCGCTGCCTCCCCGTCACCACCTTCAACCTCAGCTCGTGTCCGGGCTCCTCATTCTCACACATCTGCTCCCAGCACGGGGTGAGTCCACACTCACACTTTATGTTCAGCGGAGCTTTGAGGCAGGGTCAGATTTTGACTTTTGAAGTTGTGTGCTGCAGATTTGTAGTAACGAGGTGAAGTGTATCTGCGACACCGACTACACTGGGAAGGACTGCAGTGTGTTTGACCCCATTCCCACCCCGACCTCACCCGATGGACTAGAAAAGCACAAAGGTAACTGCACGGAGGAGGGAACTCAACTCAGGGTATCTATAAAACAATACAAAAACCAAAAAACTTGAGATGTAATAAGATTATGTTTTACTGTCTCCTGATGTTTAAATTAATCCATTCATCCTTTAGCTGGGATGTGTTCCTGGTTTGTTCCAGATCTACTCACAGCATAATCTGTACAGCTTCAGGCTTAGACATTTGCATATTAGTGCTCATTGAGGAAGTTAAAAAACAACCTTTTGGCATCATGATGCATGTTCAATAATCCAGGTAGAAAAATCTAAAAAAGTTAACTTTTTTAAACCTTTGGGCAGTAATTTGCAATGGCTTTTTTTACAATGCATCAAGCTTTTAAAAACATTATTTCAAAACATTAACTGTGATTTTTTTTTTTTCAGTGTGACCGCAGACAATTTACTGGTCACTTTTTAATCAGTGCTCTTTTTTTTCATTCTACCTTTATTTATACAGGTTAGTCTCATTGAGCCTCGAGGACTCGAGACTTGTTTTTAGCAAAGAATGAATGATGACAACAGTAGACAATCATAAAAAAAGCATATAAATTGAAAAATAAATGGAAGAAAATTACATTAAAAAACATAACAAAAACAAGTATATTGTAAGGCGCTGTGAAAACTAAAAACAAGAACATGGCTGCATTGGTTTTTGCCAGGAACTTAGCAGATGTTTGAAGCCACTTAGAGAGGTCAAGGTTGAGAGCTTCAGATCGTTTTGCAAGATATTCCATGAAACGGGAGCGGAGAAGGAGAAGGCCCTTTTGTCTAGTTCAATCCACACTGAGGGGACACTCCTGGGAGCGCACGCTGTAGCTGCACTCACACAGAGACATGTAGGAGGAGATGTATGAAGGCAGCAGACCAAGAAGTGATTTAAAGATGAAAATGTACGTGAGAGAGTCTACGTGAAGTTAATGATGTCCAGTTAACCAGTGAATACAGGGTGCAGTGATGGTACGGTAGTTACAGCCAATTATGAATCTTAGGCATGATAGGCAGCATCCAACATCTGCAAGGTGCTTGTAGGGGTGTTCATGTAAATAATGACACTGTAGTCAATGGAGGGAAGGAAAGTCACAGTTACAAGGTGTTTCCTAGCATTCAGAGTTAGACAGGATCTGTTTCTGAAGAAACCCAGTTTAACTTTCAGTTTCTTTACCAAGTTTTCCACGTGGATCTTAAAAGAGAGATGCGAGTCGACCAAGATACCCAAATATTTGTAGGAACCGACAAACTCAATAGGAACACCATTTGAAGATAAAAATCAAAGGAAGAACTGCTGGGACCGACTTCTTGTTTGAAAACATCCCTTTGGTTTTTTCATCATTTAGCACAAGTTTGAGGCTGAACAAGTCTGACTGGATGATGTCAAAAGCAGACTGTAAAAGCTGGAGAATCTTAGCGACTGTTTTAGCTCGACAATAAACAACTGTGTCGTCAGCATAGAAATGTAAGGATGCATCAGGAATAATCTGGCCTACATTACTTATGTAGATTGTGAAGGGGGTGGGTCCTAAGACTGAGCCTTGTGGTACACCATTGATAACGGTTAAATAACTGGAGGAAGTACCATCATGTTGAACACATTGCCTCCAGTCTGAGAGATAATTAGAGAACCATCCAATAGTTTGGTCTGAGAAACCAATTTCTGAGAGCTTATGACATAAGATGTCATGGTCCACAGTGTCAAAAGCTTTAGACAGGTCTAAGTGCAGCACAATAATCCACAATAGTAATAATTTTGTTCAAATAATTACCAGTAAAAGGGAAAAACATCACGTCCCCCCCCCAGATCGTCTGGGTCTCTTTCTTGCAACAGTTTTTTTTCCCCATTACATCACAAACTTTTGCTCCTCAACACTCAGTCTGCTTTATTTTTTTCTTTACTGCCTGACTTCACTCCCGCAGGTCCCAGTGGAACCAATATCATAATAGGCTCAGTTGCTGGTGCAATTCTGCTAGCAGCGATAATCCTGGGGGGAACAGGCTGGGGATTTAAGTAAGTCCTCTGGCACACCTCTGTGCATGTCTGTGTTATCTTTGTGTGCCGTGCAGACATCATTCTGCTGGTGCATGAGCTGCAGATGGTTTGTTCAGTGATCTGCCTCGTTACCTGTCAGTAAGCTCATTGGCTCTTTAATTAACTTCCTGCATGGCATGACATGATTATTATGACTGTCAGCTTTTAAAAATAAATCATATTCAAAGCATACGCGGTTTGTTTCATGTTTAAATCATCTTAGTTTCTAAAGTTTGGCTTTTACTGTTGCTAAACTCAACATCTTTGTGTTCTGGGCTGTCAGATTATGATGATGAACCAAAGAAAATGCATTATTAAGTTTTATTTTAAAAATAGGGTTTTAATTCATTTTGAGCTGTGATGGGCAATAGTGATTATTTCAATTCATTAAACCAACCATGAGTACTTAAATACACATAAAACTAATAAAAACAAGTGTTTATTGTAATGTATACGTAAATAGCCACTCCGTGAGCACAGACTTTGAAGAGCAGCAGTTTTTAGTTATTCTTAATGGATTTTATTGCATCACTCTAGCTGCATGAAATCTGACCTGACTCAAATAAAGTTGCTTACATTTAAAGTTTAAACAGGTCTTTTATAGGTAGAAAAGGTTGACACCTGCAGCTTGATCTGTCTCTAATTGTAAGTCAGTATCTATGACGCCATGTATCAATACCAATTATCCACACCAGTAGAATCACTAAAAGTTAAATAAATAACCTGAATAAACTCAAGGAGGATAAATGTAAGCTGCTAAGGATGTAAGTTATTAATGCTCAGGTGCTGGAAATGGAAAAGAATGTGCAAAAACGTGGATTATAGAGTCAGGATCTCTCCGTTAAACAGTGACAGTCCAACAAAGGAGATCTGATGATTTAGCCGACAGGAACCATAACTCAGAGATGTGAAGGCTGACTGTGTGGTCTGATGTTGTAGAAGTACAAACTGCAGAAGATGCTACAAAAAAGTGTGTTCTATGTGGTTGTGCAGCTGAAAATTGGTGTGAGTTTCTGTTTGGATCCTTTTCCACAATCTAAATGTTCATATAGTGAGGGGTCAAGAATCAGAACAGGACTGTGGATGAGTGTTGGGGTTTACCTGAAGAAGAGATAGGAGGAGGATAGGACTCAGGGGTAAAGGCCAGATTTGTAAATGTCGCAACTTGGATCTTAAAAAACTAAAAGGACCTGTTTGAAAGCTGGAAAACACACAGCATCTTCAGATGTTTCGTAGAAGTCAGAGCTGAGAGGTGGTCGTAATGTTGTGGCTGATTATGAATCTGTTAAAGTCAGTAAAGTTTGGGATCTTGGCAGGAAAAAAGAAATCTGTTGTCTTCTTCCCTCTGCACGTTTTCTTTCTGCTTCTTCGTGTTGCCCGCCTGCAGCATGCAGCTTTTGTCTTCAGTTCATATCAGAAATGCTGAAATATGGCACCGACAGGTTTTACTCCTTATGAGCCGAATGAAGGCGCACGTCTATTTTCTGTTAGCTGCTTTGCTGCCGGAGCTTTGAAGGCCACGCATGATTTAGTTTTTCCTCGCAGTGTTTATTGTGCACGTCGGATAAAGTTTGATAATCTCACCGTAATGTTCTCTTGTCTTTTTCCTTCATCACTGTGGATCCAGAAACATCAGAAAAGGAAGGTACGACTCCGGCTTTTACTCCTAGTCTCCATCCTCGGACTCCATGCCTTCTGTTTTTATAAAACTCCCATCGATTACCAGATTATTAATCTTTATTTCTTATTTTATATCTTTAAATAAGCATGTTTTCATAGTATTTGACAATTAGAACAAAAGCCTTTATGTATTGTTAGTCTGCAGTACCTGTTCGTTCACAAAGCATAAAAATACTTTTTAATTTTAGTCATTCTGTACATTTATTAAGTTAGCTTTCATGTCTACAGTGTAGCTGCTGTTTTCAATTTTATATTGATGAATTATGTAGTTATTGGTTCAAATAAAAACTGAGATTTTCTTTGGTTTTTTTTTGTTGAAAATGTAGTTTACTCTGTCAGCTGTTAGTCAAATACAGTAGTCCCTCGATACTTCACAGTTCGTTTTTCATGGACTCGCTCTATCGTGGTTTTTCAAAGTAAGATTGGACATGACACACAATGGCTGATTGATGAATGAGCCGCACGATTGGCTTTTTTTTATTTATTTATTTATTTATTATATATATATATATATATTAATTATTTAGCACCTGTGTGCAGGCCACAGCTGTGGGATAACTTCCTCCTGCAGCTGATCAGCTGATCTCTGTGCAAAGCGGAGAAGTGGGCGTGGCCAAAAGTGCAGCCGGAGGCAGAGAGCTGAAATCATGACATGCTGTGCTCGTTTATAGCGTTTAGAATTTAGAAACGTTGTTTAGAATATTGCAAGAGTGTGGGAAGGAATTAAAACACACACACACACACACACACACACACACACACATATATATATATATATATATACAT